TTTACAAACAAGCCCAGTTGTCCTAGATTCAACCCTTCTCACGTAATAAAGAAACAGCCTTCATGAGGACAGGTTTAGTGAACTGTTTATTAGGTGTACCTAATAAACTGGCAGCTGAGCGTACTATACTATATGACGGCTTAAATCTGATTTATATTTAGACGAATTAGGCTATTCTCTTATATTTCTGCCTTGAATTGATGTTAATTGACAGTGCATTAACTTGCCAAACGTGTTTGTCACTGTAAGAGACATTTCCAGCTTTTACTAGCTCTGGAGAACATTTTATTGGTGTCAAATTGAACAGTTCTGTTCGTCACTTTTTACTGCATGTGTATATAATGTTTCCCTCAAAAATCTTTTCTTCAAAGTAAAAAGAAAATCAGAAGAACAAGATGTTCTGGTTGGTATGCAGGCCGGCTTTCATAAGATATGACACGCCTTGATATGAGACACCAATAATTTAATGTTGTAGTACACACTAATCAGAGGACTCCTTTACCGAGCGAAAACCTATGAAACACTTAAAAAAAAACAACAGGGTTCTCTATAGACATTATATAACTGCAGCAGCACATAGAGAAACACTGGCCTACTTTCCTCCACACAGTGACCTGCTCTCCAGTAGCAGGGAGGGAGGGAGGGAGGGAGAGAGGGAGAGAGAGGGGGGAGGACTCTGCTCTCTCAATGCAGCAAGGCGGGAGGAGCAGGGAGAGGAGCAGGGAGAGGAGAAAAAATCAGGAGCTCTCACTCTGACCCTGTTCTAAATATCAATAATGTCACCATCATCAGAGTAGGAGGGAAAATGCAGGCCTTAATGAAATATGTTAAATTGCTATTTAATAGCATTTTGGCCTTAATACATCTCCTCTATACTGACTGTTTAAACATGAGGGAAATTTTGCGCATAGAGAAAAGCTATGCATGATTCAAGCCCGCACAACACAGGAAATTCACGTAATGTATTTTATAAAAGATAATATTGTTTACAGCAACTTCAGTAACCTGTTGTTACCCTGTCATTACCATAAAAGGAGAGCAAATCCTTAAATTCTGCTTGATTAGGACATGGAATAATAAACACTGTGGTCCATGGCTGTGGAAACACTCACAACAAAAAAAGGTTGAAGGATATGTTCCACTGTCACACACATTTAAGGCTAAAGTCTAAGTGTATGTATTGCTCAGGGTAGCTGTAGAACATATGGTAATTTTGGGGGGTACAATATACAAGAATAGAGCTTTAGAGCTTGTAGTAGCACATCTTTCCTCTATTGTTATGTTAAACTGCTTGAGCAAAAGGGCTGATTCACACCCTCTGTAACAGTTCTCTAATGTAATACACACACATGTGCCACACACTTGTGGTATGAAAACGTTTGAAACACTGGTCATAATTTCTGTTACTGTGAATAATATGTAGATAACAGATGGCCTGATTTCCATATGCAATTTTTTAAATATTTTTTGACTATATTGTGTTTTTAAAACTTTTACATTTTTAAATAACAAAAAAGAAAAAGGGCCTGAAACAAAAGTTTGGCCACTCTCCATAGTAAGTAGTAACACCCCCTTTCCAAGGTAGATTTGACTCAGTCTTTCACTTCCTGTTTGTGGGACTTTGGTCCATTTGTCCTTGCCCTCTAGTTATCTGCGATTATTGGTCTCTATGGTACGCCCTGGTCTTTTGAGGTCTCTGCACAGATTTGTAATAGTGGTTAGGTCAGGGGACTGTGAGGGCCATGGCACAAAAAACATGTAGTCCAACTCGGGGCAATATATATAAAGATGACTTTGTAGGATTCAGTGACCTATTGCAACCAAATAAGCGTCATTTAACCTTTCCTTTCCAAGCATTTACTGTGCACTTCAGAAAACACATGTATCTCTAAAGCCAGAGTCTGGTTTGTCCCTTCTGTGTTACCGTAGACACATGGTTGAGTCATGTGGAAGTCTTGGTTGCAGGAGAGTATATATATATGAACATTACATTGTATTTCTCGTGGTAGATCCACCTAAATCCTACACACTGGACATTCTATATAAAATGCTTTTACTTTAACAGGAGCATGTTTTAGTCTCTGAGCTGCAGCCTCTGGTCTCTTTGATCAAAGAAGTCACGTTTTATCCTCATGAAAGTGAAGCGTTTAACACAATCTGCTTTAGTGGAGCAGGAGAGTCATCTTCTTCATAAACAATCTTTGGGAGGGGTTGCCCAGCACGCACGTGGTGAAATGGGCGGGGTCAGCCTTCTCGTTCCCTGATAGCTGTTAACGTGTGTGGGCGTGACTGGAGGGTACACGTCATCGACAGACACTCGGAGCTCGTCAGTAGCGTCTGAGAGGTTTTAGGGAGTTTGTTTATTTATTTATCTATTCGTGTAATTCACGGGACACATGCAGACAGCGCGAGACATGATACACAACCACAGCGGATATACATGCAAACAGCGGCAGCCATGTTAGAGCAGAGGGCTGACATACAGTCACTTGATCCCCGGCGGACCATGTCAGGTCATTATGTAAAAGAAGCTCGGCCCTGCGCCACCGCCCTACACCTTCCCCCATGTTCGTGGTGCACTTCTATTTATTCTACGTGTTTTACATGTGCTGCAGTGCGTGCAGACGATCAGGAACACACTGAGGAGCAGGGGCAGAGAGGATCGGACAAGTTCAGAGCGATGCTGCTGCACATAAACACTGCTCCGTGTGTGTGTGTGTGTGTGCAGCAGGTTTCAATGCAGTAACTCCTCAGACTGCAACAGCCACAGTGTGTGTGTGTGTGTGTGTGTGCGTGTGTGTTTAACTGTTTATTTGAGACAACTGAGATTAACTGAGGTCAAACTCTGCAGCACGTCTGTGTACTAAAAAGCGAATATGAAAGTAAAAGTAAGATATCGCGTGTTTACATAACCAGGATCCCCTCAGTGGTCGTGGGTTAGCTTTAAGTTTAAAAGCAGTGAGCTGCATACTGCAGGTAGTTCAACCATGGTGCTCATACACCAGCGACCAATGTAGTTTCTCTTCGGCTCAGAAAATGAATTTTCTCACGAGGTTTTACGCGTGATAAGCATATATGTCAGTTAGCACAAAGGGATACACGCTAATTATATTTAAATGTAATAAAATAGCAACTTACCACGTGCTTTCTGTTGTTGCTGGGCTTGCAATTCCAAAAACTTGGCTGCTTCCAGGAGCGTTTCGATGCTCATCTCTGTCCAGTTGTAAAAAATAGAAATGAAAAACAAAATGCTCAAGAGAAAGAGCAACGAGGCAAAAACAGCGCTACGTGCCCGGGCAGCACAGGGAGAGGTCCCCAGACTGAGGCTGGAAAAAAACGGGTAACCAGACACCCCCTCACCAGAAACTCTAGCACTTACGTAGGGGAGTTACAAACAAGATGGCGCTCAAAGTAGTAGGAACAAATAAGGTTTGTGAATCACGCAGCGCTTAGAACCGCCCACAGACACGCTGCCTCCCTCCGGAGAAAACACGGAGCGACCGGGAGGGAGGTGTGGACGCGGAGTGTCCCGGACTCACGGTCAGGAGCTGCGGGCCTGAGTCACACTCACGTCCGTTCAAGAATCAGTCCGCTGGAGAAAAGTCACAAAATGTCGCTGGAGCAGACGTTAACCGCGTCAGTTCAGCGGCCAGAGACACGGTTAGTTACGACAACTGCTCCAGAAGATGAACTTCAGGGGAAATGACACTTTTACATTAACGAGTTACCATGACAACAGTCACTTTAAATATCAGTGTTCACTGTCAACCAGCAGCGATGGCTCCACCATCTATGTTGTGTATGAACCTCACCTGTGAGCAGTTTACATGAAGTGCTCTTTCACACACAACAGAGATGAGTCCAAATCTAACCAGCTGGTGGATGGAACATGATGCTCAGTCCGCTGACCTACATGTACTCAGCCTCTACATCTGACCTACACTTTAAACTCAGTGACCTGAAATGCCTTCATGTGGAGTAAACAAGAAAAAAACCAAAAAAGGTATCAGCAGTGGTGGAAAGTAATTAAGTAATTTAATGTGGTACTTCATTACAGTTTGAGATACTTGCACTGTACTTAAGTACTTGCATTCAAATACAGTTTAAAGTATTGTTTACTCAACTGAATCTGACAACTTTACTCCAGGGTGTCTCTCTGCAGAGCACATTCCTCCAGCAGGGCTCAACAGTCACCTTTCAGGTGGCAACAAATCGCACACGCTCATAAATACAGAGACACATACACACATAAATCCTCCAAGTCCAAAGTTATGCGTTCTTTCCTGACACACACTGCATCCTTCTACTATGTATCCTAGAAGTCTATGTAATGCATTGTGCGTCATCTGAGGATGAACACACCTTCTTCAGAATGTACTGAGCTCCAGACAGATCCATAATAACCGGTAATACAGGATATTACACTGATAAGTGGAAACTATATGATTATTATCTATCCATTCCATCCACCCCCCAGGAATATCCAGACTGATTTACATGTTCAGTTAAGCACATGAATTTAACTCTCACTCTTTGTAAATGTGAAGAAATAGATATAGAACTATACTTTTTTAACTATAGAACTTTAGCCTGGTGTTTTACCTTTACACATAAATACAGTGTCAGTGGCTGGATTCTGTGACAAAAGGACACAAAGTGCGTGTTTTTAAATCTACTGTTGCCCAACTCTCACATGACAGGCACACACACTTGTGGACTCAAAGCCCTGGTATAACCTATAGGACATGTCGTAAGCCCAGGATCAGTGTGTTTTCCTTTGACTCTACACGTCCAAACATGTACCTGGATATTTAAGTCTCTCTCCTTATCCACTCTGGTCAGGAAATGAGTCACCCACTACAGAGCAATAATGGTGCCTACAACACTGACGGTTGTCCAGGAACAGGAAAAGCTCCACAAACATCCTGAGTCACAGACTGTAAATGTGAAATGTCACGACTGCCAAACCGAAGTTGCTCACAAATACAGTGTCTAAAACACACAGATTAAAAGGGTTTTAATCTTCATACAACCAATCATGACAGCAATTGTCCCTTACAGGAGAAGACACGCAAATACTGTCCCCATGTGGCCACTTAGTGACACTGCATCATTGTAGAAAAAATACTTGACTGTATAAAAGAAAATAAAAAACTACATTTATTCAAAATGTTTTCCAAATTTTGAAGACAAAACATCTGAGCACATAGTTGATTCTTTCCTGGAACAAACTCAGCTTTTTCTGAACTTTTCAAAAGCTGCCTGCTGATGGATACACAGAAAAATCATTCTAATTCTCCTGAAAGAAACTTCCCAAAAGACAGGTACTCAGATCTAACCTCTAAAAATAATGTTGGTGAAATTTTACTTCCAGTTGTTTCATATCTGACTCTACTGTGTTCTTTCTGATGTTTAGGGCTTCGCAATATACTTTAAAAGTGAGTTCTTCAGGTAGGTGCACAGCTGGTTCATCAGGTCTTTGTTCTGACCTTCGACGTAGTGCATCTCGATCAGCACATCGCTCCCCTCCAGCATCACGTTCAGCAGACACTTAAACAGGAAGTGTTTGACTTCACCGGGGCTCGGGGGCTCATTCATTGTGGGAGGCATTTCCTTCGGGCCTGTAGACTCCATGTCCACATCTTTACTGCTCGCATCATTTGAGACTTTGTTCTGTTCTCCAGTCATGTTCTGTGTTTCATCTTTACTGGAAGAGCAGCCTTTGCCAGTCTCCTCTTCCTCCTGTGCAGGTGTGGTTTCGCTGTAAGAGACATCCCCCTGAGTGTCGTTGCTGTCTTGTGTGGAAGCAGGCTGGTTTTGGGAGGGTGTGGTTACTGGAGCTGCAGCTGAAGCCACGGTGGTTTGAGAGCTGGCGGCGGCCCAGTGAGGCGCCCTGGGAAGCTCTCGCAGCTGACGCTTCTGTTCGCGTCGCTTCTGTCGACCGTGAATCCAAGTGTTCTCCACAGCTGTCAGAACGAGACTCTGCTCCTGCTCCTTGCAGGGGATACGCTTGTGCAGCACCTGTCATGAGAGATGACATATGGATGCATGTGCTCCGGTTACTGGTGAAACTGAGAAATAAAATCTGGTAGTTTAAATAACATTGTTGAGTTTAAAATCAGATGCCACAACAACGCACACAAACAAGTCTGAGACAGGACGTCCCATCTCTGGAAGTCTTACCCTCAGGTCAGTGAGTGTCCTCTCCAGCAGAGCAGTGATGTTGTCCACTGGGCTGCAGGCTGAGGAGCTGATTGCCAGAGCTTTGACCTGCAGCTCCTTCAGTCCAGCCTCTGGAAGTGTGAAGGACAGCGGTTTCCGGGACTTCTCCAGTTTACGCTTCTTACTGGGAGGAGACTGAGAGAGAACCAGCGACAGTTAAACAATAATATGCCCTGAAGATGATTCTGGATGTGTAAGACAAACTGCAACAGGATACAAATGAAATCGGTTTCCTTATTAGATGCATGATTTCATAAAGAAACAGACAAGTTGAAAGGAGATACCGTGGATAACAATCAATAAGATGATTTAATAATGGACACATCATCAATTCTGAAACATTATAACAACTTAGTAAAACATCCCCAAAACAGTATGGAATTGTTGTTTCTGCCAATTCCCTTTCTATTCTCTTTTTACACAATTCTGCTGCAAATTGTTAGTCTCACTACTTTTATTTCTTTATCTGACCTAATGTTCAGATGTAAAAACCAAAAAAAAATCACAATCACACATGTGGTGATGTTAACATTCATTACACAGGACTGCAAAAGTTATTGGCACTGTTTTAGGGTTATGCTGCATTTACACACTACAGGAAGAATGTGAAGAACAGGAAAAGCTTCTTATTCTGACTGGGGGTTAATCACGCCAGCTGATCAGTATACATTCAATTCTTTCCTTGTTTAAAACATTTGTAGCATGCGAGTATGAGCATGGAGTACAGCTCTTATTAAATTAACTGAATCGTCAGTTGATTTTTACTTTGGTGTAACCACAGGCAACAGTGAATTTCTTTTTCTTTAAAAAGAAAAAGAAAAAAAAAAGGGACATTTATTGCAGTTATATTTTATGTTAACAGAGACGATGAGACAGGAGAGAGACAGAAAAATGTCCGGTTGGCGACCTGCTGTTCAAGGAATATGCACCTATGTGGTATTTGTCTCAACCATTCTATCCAGTCACCCCACAGTGGTGAGATCACATGAAGAGACAGAAGACACTGGGACAGACGGAGTCCACAGAGGAACTGCAGTCACATCACCACAGAGCAATATGTATGAAAAGTTCTCTTCTCATTTATAACAATTACTGTCTTGAGATGTAACAACTGATTTAACCAGATCAGATCATTATTCTTGCGTTGATCTGATACTTCAAGCTGGGTGGACACTGGATGGATGTTCATTACACACCACAAGAGGGCGCACACACCACATGAACTCCACTTGAACCTGCAATGAAGTTAACTCCGTTCCTTATCTCTCATCCTCTCTGATGTCACGCTATCATGGCGGAGCATGTCATTACTCCAAAGTGTCTGAATCCAGCTGACGCTCTGCTTCACGTCCACTGCAGCCAATATCTCAGAGCTGCACTTGTGCGTCACTGCAGGCTGAGTGAGAGTGGGGAGACGGCAGGGGTCTGCAGCAGCAGCAGAGGCGTGCAGTGACGGAGCAGACAGTATGGCCGACTGACCTACAAACAACTGAGGGATAGAGCAAACATTGACCTTCACACTGCTGCAATGATCTGGAGACATGTTTTGAGCACTTGTTCATTTGAGTGCATCGTTTGAGACTTTATAGTCGGGTTTTTTACAATTTATGATGTAAATTTGTTTTGGAAGAGGAATAGATGAATTTGAAATACAGTGAAATAAATCCACAAAAATGAAAAAAAACAAAAAAACACTGCCTCGTCCAGATGCTGTTAGATATTCTTTCATTTCTTATCGTTTCTCACAGACGTCTCTCCCCCATTTCCTCCTCGCTCTGCAGGCCCTGCAGCTCAATGCAGAGGGAGAGGTAATCAATAAAATCCATCAGGCCAAATCTGTGTGTTTGTACCGAGCATCCTTGACACAGATTCTTGCACTAATACACTGGTATATAAATACACACACACACACACACACACACACACACACA